CTTTCCCTCCCTCCTGCCCTCCCTCCTTCTCTCCGGGGGTCGCGGTGTGCGCGCTCCACCTGCGGGGCGGGGGTCGGGGGATGCCGCGCCGGGGAGCGAGCAGCGGCCTAGGGAGGTGCAGGGGCGAGAGGCGGGGAAGGGAAGGGCACCGCGCCGCCCGCGTGGCTCCGGGGCTCGAAGTCGCGGTAAACATCTCGAGTGCCGCTATCGCGCCTGGCCCCGGCCCCCGCGGTGGGTCCCGCCGCTTCTCTTCCTTTTGTCGTCTCAAAATAAACGCCCTAAAACTTTGAGCGAGTTGCGGTAGTTTAGCGAAAACCGGAGCGGAGCTGCAGCCCGGAGGGAATGCTCCACCCTGCCAGGCGGGAGACTTGGGTTTCACTCGGGGCTGGCAGTGCGCTGGATCGCCGTGGAGGCGACTGGAAAGGAAGGGGAATACTTTTGTCACATAAAAAACAAGCCCTGTGCCGCTCTGGGAGCGGTGTCGAAAGTCTCGGTCTTCAAAGGACTCCTCTTTTCTGCTCGGATAGAGAGGTAGTTGAAGAGAGTAGAGGAAATGGGACTGAAAACGCTGTGAGTTTGAGGCTGGGGTTTTATTCCTCTCTATTTTCCAGGATTTTTTTGCAACTCAGTTTCTCAAGTTTACCCTGTTTCAGCTGATACAGGAGTGCCGGTTCCCCTTGACACGTAGGCGTTGGTAAACGGGTGGCATGGCTTGGATGCTGCTTAATATTTGGGTGTTTACTGCTAGGTTGTCATTTGCTTGCATTATTTCCCTCACGCTTGAGTATCGCAAGGTACAGCACGCACTGCAAAACTAGCCGGGGTTGCAACAGTGCGGTATTCCTTAGGCATTTAATTACACTAAACAAACATTCCTTTAATTAAAGGTGTTTGTTTAACATTCCTCATTACAGCTCTTGGAAAAACCCACAGAGCAGCCGTGAGCAGGGGGATGCGGGCTTCTCGTTTATGCCGAATTACAAGTTAAGCTTTCATGGCGAGCGGGGGAGAGGCGTTGGGACCATATGGCCGTGGGGAAAACCGGCCAAACGCGAGCGGTTGCAGAGATTTTCCTCGGCAGCAGCAGCACAACGAGTTGACAAGATTGTGGAGAGATTTTTGGATGACTGGCCAGAAAACCTGAGGGGCAACAAGTAGTATTAGTTGCACTCTGCTGATGTTTGAGGTTGCAGGGAACCAGCAGGCACCCACTGTTGGGGGGTGGATGCAGGTAATGAAGATGTGGGTTGGTGCTGCGTGGGAAGCTCAGAGAAGTAATAGAAGCCACTTCTTCCTAGTAGCCAGAAAGTTTTGTGTGGAATAAGATCACAGACTTAACAGATGCTTCAGCTCTGCTTGCACAAGTCTTTCCCTTCATCAGACTCAACCACTGTTGTCACTGGCACAGGAATTAGCAGTGATTACATTGAGAGTGCTCATGCCAACCAGGGATTTGGGTTTTTAGATGCTTTCTTACTAGAATGTGAGCGGCTGTTTCTTTCACAGATTTCTGTTCTCGCTGACAGTGGAAAGCCCTGAAAATCCAGGATGGAAAAGCCGCAATAGCTATTTACCTGCTGGATAGAAATAGAATAGCTGCTCAGAACTGAGATAGCGAAAGTTTCCTGATAAAAGCCCGGTGTCCTTTCTCTTAGTTGTTACAGCTGGGCCTCTTACTAGAGTTGTTCTGGACCTTACACACATGTAGAGTGAGAAGCCATGTGTTCATTTTTCAGTTTGGGCAGTGGCTCTCCAGCAGTTGGGTTATTCAGCCCTGCCTTTGATTGGGAATGGTAAACACCCTCACCCAAGAGTTCTGCTGCGGACACAGTGTGTGGGCACAACAGCTGACATAATTTGCATGAGGACCGTTTATATCCTCAAGTTGGTCTGGTAAGTTACTGCAGAACTTCAGAATTCACTGGCTGTTGCATTTTCTCCCCCATATTAGACCTATTTAATTGGATGGAGACCTTAGTATCTTTATAATTATTTTTAGTATGCTGAAAGTAAAATGCAAAACATGTAAGACCAAGAAGAGTCAAGAAAACCCATAGCTTGATCTGTGTGTCACAAGTTACTGTGCTTCATGCATGTGCATCCAGCAACTTGTTACACCAAAATGCAACCTGTACTTAGCCAAGGATCTTTTCCTGGCAGGCACCTGGGACTTCATCTGAGGGTCTCAAGATGTAATTTAACCACCAAGATGCCTCCAGAAGTTGAAAGGTGGTGTAACTCGGAGAGCTGAGATGAAAAAGCTCATCTTTCTGCTGTAAAATAAATTGGGTGTCATAGTTTTTTTCCCCACTAATTGTTTCTTTTAAACATATCATTACCGTGTTGCCTGACAACTGCCATATAAAAGATAACTGTGACTTTCTAGAGTCAACCTTTGTGGCTAGCAAGTTACTTTAAAGAACTGTATAAAGTCTCTCTAGGACTTCTACT